AAAAAAACATTTTTGGGGGGGGGGGGGTGAATCTCATCTCATGAGCCAAACTTTAAGGCTGAAGGAGTGTTTATGATTGCGTAACTATAAAAACACCGAAGTTTTCTTTTACACTTTCCAGTGCAAGGTCATCTTTGTCAAGTTTTATATCCCTAAGAAAGATATGGCAGAAAAGGCCGAGAGAATGAAGCAAGCAGTTAGAATGGAAGAAGTTTTCATTGTTGTCTAGAACAGTGTGGGGCCAACGGTTTAGGCAGGTGTGTCACAGAGTAGCTCTACGCCTTCCCTGAGTGTTGCTCCCATCCCTTTCCCCTGCATGGTCCGCTGCTTTGATTTCTGCTCCCAGCCCCATAGGCTGCTCTTCCTTCCCTATCTGCTGCTGTGCTGCCTCCCCAGGCTGCAGCATGTCACACACAAGCTGCTTATGCCACGTGTCACAAGTTGGCCACCCAAGCCTAAAATGATCAGATAAATACATGTTCTTTCTCCATTTTTTGGTGTCTTAGGGTGACAGAATTTAAGATCAGACTTTCACTACGTTGTCTGTGTTTTTCTTTCTTTCTTTGTTTAGAATTGCCATGAACTGGAAAAGATGGACTTAGAAGAATGTGTTCTGGTGAGACTCCATTTTACAAGGAATGTTTGTCACAAACCCAAAATAGGAGTCTCTAATGCCGTTCAGGACATCGGAGCATTGAGTAAAAATATTTGGTTTTGCTAATGTGGGCAACTGATAATTCCTATGTTGCCGATAAGCAAAACCAGTAATTATCAGGAGACCTTTATAGCCTTCTTTCACTACAGTGAAAGATGATTTAAAAACCGTTACACTCAGGCCTCTCTCTGTGTGAGGATTGTGTTTCAAAAAAACCTTGTATAAAGTGAATTCGCATAAAGCAAATCCATTATTACATGTAGTGAATAGGAATACATACCAGTCTCACTCTACTGCCCCCTCCAACCATGACAAATTCAAACAGTAATCACACAATACAATAAGTGCTGCACAGAGAGGCTGTGAGCTTCACGCTGCAAACAGCAGCATGTGCTGGGGGTGCATTGTCAGGGCAGCATGGGGCAGGTTGGAGGCACCCGGGGGAGGGAAGCAGGGTGGCAGGGAATGCCAGCTGCTCCTGGCTCTACCCTGCTTCCCTTCCCCAGGTGCTTCAGCCTGGTGGGCACAACCCAGCTGGCTGGGAGCAGCAGGGCTGTGCGGAGACGCTATGAGCTTCGTACTGAAAACAGCGCCAGGGCAGCGTGGGACAAGCACCTTCTCCTCACGGCCCCGCTGTTCGCTGTTTCCCTGCCCCCAAGCCTTCACAGCCCAGCAGGCATGACCCAGCGCAGCAGGGAGCAGCAGGAATCTCTGCACCGCTGCAAGCTCCGCGCTGCCCTGGCAATGCACCTCCTTCACGTCGAACTGCAGTGAGGCTAGCGGTGCGGGGTTGCACCCCTCAAAGCAGTGCCAGAGCTTGCAGCCTGCACCTGCCCTGAATGCAGATCTGGGGGACACAGGTCCCCGCTGCCCCTTGGAAGTGTGCGCAGCAATGAAGAGCCAGCCCTCCCCCCATGATCTACCCAAGGCGTTGTCCTCCCCCCTGGGGCTCTAAGCACCCCCCAGCTGGATGGCAGCCCCAGCCCTGCCTAGGTCCCTCCCTAGAGGGGCCTCAATCCCCCTCTTCCTCCGCACTTACTTACCAGAACTGCCCTCAAGGCTGCTTGGGGCTATGTGCGTGTACTGTACATGGATGTGGCGCCACCTGTCTCACTGCCTGCCTTCCGCTTCCTCCCACCTCCCTGCAGGCTGGAACTCTGCCAGCCTGCAGGGAGCTCATTGCTGGCCGACTTCTCATAAAATCAGATTTTTCTTGTGCAAAGCGAATTTCTGGTATAAATAAGGTCGTTGCTTATAAGCGAATTTGCATAAAATGAATTCACATAAAGAGAGACCCAAGTGTATCAATTTTCCAGAGATGTGTCTAATAAACTACATATATTTTAGACTCTATTGGGCACAGGGAACCAAGTAGCTTTGGTGAATGGATTATGGATTATTTATATTACATTCATAGTATCCAGCAATAAAATGAGCAAGGTAACGTATAATAGATGTGCAAGGACTGCAGAACAGATATAAAGCATTCTGTTGGCAAAAGGGCGGTGTTTTTATCACACTTTCTCTTTGGAAATCGATGATGTGAAGTCTATCAACCTATCAATATTTCAGCACTGAAGTCAGTTCAGTTTCCTACATTTTAAACTCATATTCATTCATTTCGCTAAAATTAGTAAAACCTGGGGATGAGAAGAGTTTTTATATTTTCCATGTGTTTATAGATCTGAGGGACATTAATGAACTAAAGTTAAACCCAAATGGGTATGGCAAGCTACTTTTGCGAGGTATACTTTTTCATGTAGGCAGTTCTCTTCTTGCATATGTCAGTCTATAATACTATATGTGACAAATTGTTTGGCTTCTCTTCCTAGATAACAGATAGTACATTGATACAGCTCTCTATTCACTGCCCTAAATTGCAAGCATTGGTAAGTTTAACTCTTATTTATTTATAGGATATAGTTTTTTAAATCTGTATAAACTATTGTCTGTCACAATCTCTAGTAGATACTTGCCTTTTTGTCATGCTGTGACATTTTACAATTTTACATATTGTAGCAAAATGTTTTGAACAATGCTTATTTCTGTGACTGTTTTACGCACATGTAATTTGGCATAAACTTGTTGTTATTAATACATTATGTTTCCAAGTATCCCAGTGAATCCCCAGCATACTCAGAAAAACAGATTTTTATAATGAGTAATTGTGAATAATTAGTCAAAGTAAAAAGCTACATGACTTTTGAGATGCTCTTGAATGATTGGGAATCTTTATAGATACTCTTTTGCATAGTACTGACTCTTTAATGACATGTAAACATTTATGTTGAAACAGAACAAAAGCTGAATTAACAGAAAGATAATTGTTTAATAAATGTGTGTATTGTCACCCACAATTTTATAAATGGGATTGTATATGAATAATCCTAAAGTTGTTTGTAAATTAATAGGGACTGATAGTAAGTAATAAGTTTCTAGAGCCCAAATTTTCCCAAGTGACTATTGAGTTCACATACTTCATATATGGAGTACTATGCTTGAGATACTCTAAATATCTGATTTTCAAAGAGCAGGTGCCCAGTATGTTTTAAAACTCAACCTGCTTTGAAGTGGCTCTGGCCCTCCTGAAATTTAGGCACCAAGAATCCCTAGTCTTGGTCAGTTTTGAAAACGTAGGCCGTTGTGTTCAGAGCCAACGCTTCTGCCATCATTTATAATCTGTCCTTAGGAGGGATTAAAAGGAATGATTGTTACTTCATTAATTATGTAGCCTTGTGGCTTTTCCCAGAGACCCAGCTCCAGGAATAGTGTTACTAAGGCAGCAGAAAGCTCAGGAAGAGATGGTTTTGAAAAAGAGCTTTATTTAATGCTTTATTCAGATTAATTGCCCCATCTTATTTGTGGACCATAATTCCACAATCTGCCTTATTAAAGTAAAGGAAAATCTGCCAGCTAAGCAAGGAATAGTTTACATACAGGTCTATATACTCCTGGTAAAAATGTGTAGCTTCTTAT